TTTTTTTTTTAGCAATTGGAAAAAAATCCAGACATGGTGATAAAAAAAAATTCTCATTTTTATTGACAATTTCCATGTAAAACAAACTCAAACGAATGATATACGGTATGGTAAATTTAATTTTTTTTTTTTTTAAAACTTTTGGTAATAGAAATAAATTTTATAATCAATTGTGAAAAAAATTATAACTTTAATGGACAATTTTGATGCAAACGAAGACCAAACGAACACAAAATTTAAAAATTTTTCGGGTGAAAAATTATACCAATCAAACACACTTAATTAACAATTCCAGGTAAAACAATTTCTAGGCAATTACTTTCCCTTAAATTCATTTTTTTTTCACCCATTTTCCACCATTTCAATCAAACGGACCCTTAATGTAATATTATTATCCAAGAAGCCCAAACGAGGAATTCAATCCTACCTCACGACGCTTAAATGTGAAAACAACTTCCAACTTACACGTACTCTTACATCCTACAATACGTGGACGCTAAACCAATCAAACTAGAATTTGACTCTGGTGTCTTCAGCTTATTTTGAGTCTAGTTTTCGGGAGTCAAGCCGATCGAACAAGAGTCAGAAAAATCAAGTTCTTGAATGCTATGTTGCCAAAGCGCTGATCCAAATCCAATACTTGTTTTGATCAACACACTATAATTTTGAGTTGGGTCTGTTTGCCATTGATTTACGATTTAGGTATCATCAATACTTAATTTCTAATGACAAGAAGCTACGTGTATATTTCTCCCTACGTAACATCCACATAAGAATTCGGATAAAAAAACGATGAACAAGAAAAATTAGGTGCTTGAACAGTGCACACTATGTTGCCAATTCATCGATCCACAAATCCAATAATTGTTTCGATCAAATTCGATGAAATTGTGACTTCAGACAGTCATATATTACTACTGGAAAAAATCACATCACAATTTCTTGCCTAAGAAAATATAGTGCGATGCTAGACAATGCAATCTGCAGTATCCTTTTAAAGTGGAATTCCTCATGTGCTCATCTCAAGGGATGGAAATACCCAAAAATTCGATTGTTCTCACGAAATTTTTCTCGACAAATTCTTCAATCCACATCCAACACATTTAAGAATCACAGTCCTAGTCGATGGATCAGGCTTAATAACAAACTTAACGCCTAGAAAATCTCTGATGTGCCTAAGCACTTCAATTCCATATGGCGCAAGCTGTCCAACGCGAACCTTTGAAACGTCTTGGGGACATAGTGCACAGAGAATAAACAACAAACCCTGCAAAAAAAAAGGAAAAATACTACCTTCCGTTACAACATAAATTTGGAAAGCACCCACCTCGTTTATGTTTATGGATATGGGATGTGAAAAACATTATTCAGAATCCGGTAATCTTCTTATATTAGTGTCATTTTAGTAAACTTGGATGTGTACGAGTAAAATACACATTCCATATTTTGGGCAAAGCTAATTTTTTAATTTAAGCACTTCAGGATACACACAAAAGATATAAAAGCAACCGATTTTTGCATAAGATAAACTTGAACAGTGCCTGATATATGATCAACCCCAAAATCTAATAGACAACAGACAAATCAAAGTTAACGACATTAAGGAGTAGCAAGTTTTATAAACAAACCTGATGAGTTGAATCGACCACACCACCTTGTTCAATCTCCCCGAGTAGCGTAGAGGCGATTTGCTCTCCAACATCCTCCGGTGGGCTCAATTCTTTATTCTCCTCATCCTCAATCATACCATCTTCCTTTCCTGATGCATAAGAAATTGCAGTGTCGGCAGATATGAAGCAACCTGACGTGGTTTCAGCGACCAGTGTAATTCCATAACCGGGCGACCTGCAGTTGCAGTCAAAGATAAATGGGAGAAATTCTGATTAGCATTGCAGAAAAACATTTCTATGGAGTTTTTCTTTTACAGTTTCTACATTTAAACTGTCACTGCATTATCGACTCGGAAAATAAACGTACTTTCCAGCTTGTGGGCCAGCTTTATGATCAGTAAATATGTATATATCTGGAAGCAAATGGTTCAAAATACCACGAGCAGCATGTCTCATGGAATTCTCAAACTGAACAGATACTCTGGTTGAGAAACTAATCCCTCTAATCCTCTTTACCATGCCTTCATCAATCCAGGAGATTGCCTGCATGATGTAAAAAGATATAAAATAAAGACAACTGCCGCGCGCACACACGGAGAGAGAGAGAGAGAGAGTACTTACCTTTAGACTATCTTGGACAATGGGAATAGACAAGATAATTTCTCCACCACCATGGGGAGGGACACCTCGACTTTCAATTTTCAGTTCGAGTCCTTCTGGAGGTACTCCAAATCGCTTCAACATGGGTAAAGTAGCAGATTTAAATGTATCAACTGAGGGGTCCTTGGAATCATTTGTAAAACCTGGAAGGGGCAGGCAGTTTAAATAACAACTGTCAAGGATGCAACAAGCATTCCGTTGTATAACTATATACAAAGAATGCATAGAGGTGGCAACTGTAGAATTTGGTTTCTGAACAAAAATCTATTTAAACTGAACTGAATTAGCAATAGATCAATATCTCAAGTCCTATGAGCTTTTTGTTTTGTAAATATTGGTTTTCAAATCAGTTTCAGTTACGGAAGAGTCAAGCAGAACTGAACTAAAAACCAGATAAATATAAAATTTTATAGCTTTCCTACTTGCTAATGGTACAGAACTTGTCATGTGATTTGAGACCATCGACTCGAGATTTAGAGACACCGGAACCTCAGGATCACTCATCTTTTTAAGCATTTACAACATAACCCAAGATGGACCATAATTCTTTCTATATCACTGAACACCCATCTCAAACCTAATAAATATTATGTTTATACAACTTCCTAGGTCTCTGCAAGTCCAACACAATCAACCACCAAAATTAGATGCAAAACGTGATGCTGTATATGAAAGAAGATGCACTGCTAGTGAAAGAGCACAGGTACTGATTTATTTTAGTTTTTTTTATTGTTTAATTTGCATTTAACTACTGTAATTTTATCTGCAATTTAAATTTTGGCTCGCACTGGTTTTTTATTGGATTTTAGATTCAAGTTTGTTTTGGTTCAGTTCACATTCGAACAAATTAAATCTAGCTTAGTGCTTGTTTGGGATAGCTAAAAAAGTTGCAAAAAAGTTGAGGCCAAAGTCAACAATCAATTTTAACTATACATTTCATAAGACCCACAATTTTTTTCGACTTTATAAACCACACATTTCATCAATTTTTATCAAAATATACTAAAACTTTTATCAAAAGCTTTATCAAACAACCCCTTAGTTCTGCTGAAGAAACAGTTGAGCATATCTGATTTTATAAATAACTAAACTGTAAATCATGAGCATGTCCCTGAATAGAGAATTAAAGATGGAAATCCAGCCAACTGTAGATAAAAGCTCAAGCTTCAGCTGCCTTGTCCATGATAGCAATTTACATGATAGATAATGTTGAGCAAAACAAAGCAGTCTCAGTAGGTGGCAAATGATGATTTATTTAGGTGCTGTTATTACTTTGCCAAACTATATATTGACTTGTGACTGACTAAATATAATTTTTTGTAATGTCTTATTTTTGTTCACACAAGTTAACAAAAGTCCTGCTTGCTTAAGTAAACAAAGAATACATGCATACTTCTTATTCAGATTTTTCTCTTCTATGTAACTCCGAAACATTGGATACCATGTCAAAGTCATACCCATGTTTAAGTTGGACAATAGAAGATACTCGATGTAACACCTCGTTTGTCTCCAATACCGCCTAAAAGGACAACTCTGATATATGAAACAGCCAGGAACTAAACCATGGATAATGCTTACAAAGAAAGTAACAAGATGTATCTCCACTAATGTGATTTTGAAGTTATAGCAAGCATTCTTCCATGGAACAAATCTTCATAACATCCTAAGATTAAATTTACTAAATTTATGCATCGTACGTCCATATTTTTATATTAAAAGCCATGATTCCTAAATTTTAGTAAATCCACGAGTCCAACCTAGATCAACACCAACTGGAAAGTGAAAAATACCCAACTTCTAGGATCACAGTTTACTTTGACAAATATACACCAATGTACATAGCAATACAGATACATTAATACCAGAAATTTTTGAATTAGCAGATAAATCAGCAAAATGCAAGAATGACCTTTCAACACACATCTAAAACATAGTAAGTTCCTTCTGCAGATAGATCTTGCCTATGATCTTCTAACATATTTAAATGTAATTAATTATTTCTTCATATGCGTATTTTCTGCTGCCTTAAATATAACAACAGACCTAGAATAATTGGCACACATCAAAAAAGCTAAATTTTCCAAATCCTAGCTTTTAACTTTTTATTCATCAAAAGTATTTCTTATTGAAGTAGCTTAAAAAAATTTATCAACAAAGGAACTGCTTAAAATACTAATTGTCATTCATAAAGATAATAAATTGGCAATCAAAGATCGTACCTTTGAGTCTAATTGTAAGGGGTTTCTTCCCAAACAAACCCAGTACAATCAATGGCTCCAAGAAATATCCAATGGATCGACTCACTCCGCAGTCATGTACTAAATTCCTCCCACCCATCACTATTCCGGGCTTGTACTTGAGTTTTGAACCTGAGCACAAATTAACCAAAAACATAGAATCTCGCACACATTAAAGAAAACCTCTAGGTCTTTCTCTTATATTATTACGCAAGGAAAATTGCACCTGTGATTCTCAACCTATTGCCTTACTAGCAAATTGGTCCCCAAAGAACAAGTTGATCCCCAACCTCACCTTCAATTTACAATTAAACAATCGATTTCTACTAGCGGAAATTGTCCTAATCTTCATTTAAAAATATTTCTTGCTTCGAATTACAAAAAATTTGGACAATTCTAAGTGTGTAACTCAATAAAAGTAGAGAACCAACTTGTAACTGGGTACTAGAGCAATAGGTTGGGGAATAGTGGTGCTGTTATTCCTTATTTCACACAAGAAGCAAGTGTTACGGTGTACCTGTTTCGTTGATTTCGACATGGCAATCGTCGGACACCTTTTCGAGGAGGCGAAGGAGTGACACCTCGTGGGAAAGCAGACCAGGCCACGTTGCGTCGGCGCGTATGTCCTCGATGAGTATAGGAGTAGAGGAAAGCGTCGATAACAGGAGGCGCAGCCGAAAATTCTGGCTTCCCTTTAGCCTCAGGTACGAAATCTTCCCCATTATTTTCTCCAATTGAGTGTGATTCAAGGGTTTAGGGTTTTATGTAGACATCCCATTTTTTTAATTTGCCCATTCGGTCCCCAAACTTTTACAATTGAGTCCCAGTCAATTTGTTATTTTCTGACCTCTCCAAAGCTTTTCTCCTCGTCTTCTGACACAATTAATCAACCAACTTAAACATGAACATGTTAATCGAAATCAAACCTTTCGAATCGAAATCGAAGGTACTAGTTCGATTCCCAAAAAAATAGGAACCGAATCCGAGAATTGAGAATCAGTTGGACCCAAATCGGTTCTTGGTTTTTGAACCAAAACCGAATGAAATCAATTTTTTATATAATTTTTTTTATTTATAAGTTGGGTAAAAAAATATAAAACCTAACAACTCTAATTTGTGTAGTAATTTGTCTAAAATTATATACTCTAACCCTTGTAAATAAAGATTGACAACAACTTTTTTGTGTCTCACAGAGGCTGTAAATTGATCGGATATGGATCAGATCTGTCTATATATGATCCGATTCGATAATCCAACAAATATTTGATTGTTAAATTCATATATGTTTTGCTATGTTATCAGATATTCGATCTGAAATTAAAGAAATTAGGAAAAAAAAATCAATATTGGAATCAACTTTTTTTTTATTTATTATTTTTTTTTTACAATTTTTCCAATTTTTAACCGGGTTTAATAATTATAAATTTCTCAACTTTTTTATATTTTGATAAAAATATTTTATCGATTCAATTATTTATAACAAATCGGATCGGATCGACCTATATCCATATTTGATCCATTTAATTAACAGATCCAGATCTTGATCGGGTTATCGAATTGAAACCCTAAATCCATCTCCCATTAACTTCATCGAATTCGAATCAAAATCAAATCCATTGACAGCCCTAATCTCACCTCATGTTAGATTGTTGCATTTCAGAAATTAATGCATGTAATTTTTACAATTTGGACTTCGTATGAATCTTGGTTTGAAATAGAGATGTTATATAAGTTGATGAATCAAAACGTGTTAACCTATTGTTGATTTTGAGTTTTAATTATAACAAACAAATTATTATTATCTTTAACATTTATATTCGAGTCTTCATTGTTACATGTTGCGAATCTAATGGAATCGAGCACTAACGTCAAAACAATCGGAGACAAATCAAGCATTTGCGTCAAATTCAAAATCAAGCAACAAAACGTGAAACATTAGACTTAAACTATTTGAATTCATATGTAATGGTAAAACGCTTTAATTCTTAACAATAAATCAGTATAAGCTCGTAAGTTAAATTTTTTATGAACGAAATAAACTTTTCACAAAAGCACTCACATAAAAATTATTTTTGATGTGACAAAAATCTTTACTTGACTTTTGAATTATTTACCAATGACACTTATTTTGAAAAAGTTAATTGAAAATATCCTAAAGGATTTACACTTGCAAAATAATCAAGAAAAGAGTAAATCGAATATTTCCGGTCTGGCAGACGTCTGGTAGCCCAATAGTCAAATTTTTAACCGTTCTGATTTCTGACGCTCAACTGCTAGTTCAGTCATCCAGTTGGGCATAAAATTTCACATTTTCAACTACTATAAATACCAACTCACTTGTCATTTATTATCAAAATTGTAGAGCATTCAATTGAGATTCTTTTGAGCTAAAATTGCATTGATTTCTCATCTTATTTATTATTATCGAATTATTTTTGTTTTGAAAAACTTTTGATCGATCTCAACTTTGAAAATCATTTCATTCGTCAACGTTTTTTAAATCAACTCTTGATCTTTATTCATTGCTATTTATAAAAGTGTTAGCCCACTTCTCTTCACTATAAGTCAATAAACATAGTGAAATTGGCATTACTCGTTCCAGAGAGCTTGATAATGGAGGATGTAGATAATTGCGCTAGATCGAACCTCTGTAATTATATCGTTTGCACTCCCTATCCCTATTTACTTATTGCTTTCATATTCGTGCTTGCTATTTGAATTAATCTATCTAGTTATCATGTGCTTGATTTTAAGTTAATTTTTTGAAAAATTTTTAGAAACCAATTCACCACCCTCTTTGTTAGCTATTCTTAGGCTATCAATTGGAATCAGAGCGAGGTACTCATTTTCAAAGATTTCACAATCTTAAGTAATAGCTAACTCAATGTTTCAAAATCATGAGGGGCATACCACAACTCGACCTCCTTTTTCTTGATGGCACACACTATAATTATTGAAAGGCTAGGATGATGATTTACATTCAATCAATTGATTATAATATTTAGGAATTTGTCGAGTATGGTCCTTATAAGCCTATCAAGACCATTAAGATAGACGGTCAACCCAATCAAACTATCTCCAAACCTAGAGAAGAATACAAAGAAGAAGACAAAAGAAAACTACCCTTAAATGCTAAAGCTAATAATTTACTCTATTGTGCATTAGATAAAAATGAATTTAACCGTATTAGTTATTGTGAATTCGTATATGATATTTGGCATGCATTTGAAGTTACTCATGGTGGCACTAGTAAAGTTAAAGAAACAAAAATTAATATGTTAGTCAAGGAATTTGAAAATTTCTTTATGAAACAAGATGAATCTATTGTTATATGATTACTCTTTTTACCGATATTGTAAATGGTCTAAAATGATTCGATCATAAATTTACCAAAGGTGGACTTGTAAGCAAAATGCTTAGGTCGCTCTCGGAGAAATTGAGCTCTTTAAAGATGTTGATAGAGAACACCAAGGATATAAATACATATCCTTTAGAAAAACTCCATGAAACCTTGATAACCTACGAACTTAACAATGCCGAAATCAAGGAGAAGACGATGAAGAGCAAAGAGTAATCAAAAGAGGCTCCTAAGCACCAAATTGCTCTAAAATCGGCACTTGATGAAGGAACAGCAAGTAGAAACATGGGCAATGAAGAACTCGATGACTTAGTCCTTCTTGTCAAAAAAATAGAGAGGCTTTCGGAATAATCGAAGATTTCAAAAGAAGGAAGAAAAGAGCGAAGAAGGAGGCAATAAAATCATTTGCTATGATTGTGACAAATCTGGTCACAAGAGAACCAAGTGTCGAAACAGAAAGAAGAACATCAAGAAGAAGACACTCCAAGCAACATGGGATGAAAGGGACGATAATGATCGCGATAAAAATGAAAGTCAAGAAGAAATCGCCAACATGTGCTTCATGGCAATCGATGATGAGGTAAATTCTATTGAAAAATTCTCATATGATAATTTATCTTCCCCTTATGATGAAATTTTAGAAAAATTTGAAAAACTCACCCTTAGCCATTCTATTCTTAAAAAGAAATATAAATTATTAAAAAGTGAAATGGAGAAAATTTTGGAAACCAAAAAGGAAAATATTGATTATGATTCATTGTACAAAGAAAATTGTTCTTTAAAAGAAAATGTTGAAGAGTTGACAAAAATTGTTTTTATATTCACTCAAGGGAAGAACAATTTTGATTTAATGTTCGGTGATCAAAAATATGTTTTTGATAAAGGAAGCATTGGATATAAACCATTTTTAAAAGAAAAATCTCTCAAAAATTTATTTGTCAAAACTTCAATTACAATTTCCTCAAAAACCACTTGTAGTTTTTGCAACAAGAATGAACATATTGCCTACAATTGTCTAACAAAAAAGAAGTTACACTTTGGAAACAAGTGGACTCGAGGATCCACTAAAACTAAATTACCAATTACCCAAGGTTGTGTGGGTACCAAAAATCAAAAGTTGAATTGTTATTATAGGTACCAAAGAAAATTACAAGCAAATGGTTCTTAGATAGCAAATGTTCAAATCACATGACTGGAGATAAAACTTTACTATCAAATTTCAAAAAGAATCGGAAGTCATGTCACATGGAAAAATCATTAGAATTGGAAACATTGATAATCATCTCTCCCCTTTCATTGAAAATGTACCATTGGTAGATAACCTTAAACATAATTTACTTAGTATTAGTCAATTATGTGATAAAAGCTATCATATTAAATTCGATTCTTCCAAATGTCTTATTAAAGATGCTACATCAAAAGAGATGATATTTATAGGAAGTCGTAGTAAAGATGTTTATATCATAAATATCGAATTTGAAAATAATGAACAATATCTTTTAAGTTTGAAAGAGGATACTTGGTTGTGACATGGGAGATTAAAATCATCTCTCAAAAATTTCCAAAAATTGTTTTGTCAAAGGGTTGTCAAACTTAAAATTTGAGAAAGATAGAGTTTGAAATGCTTATCAATTTGGAAAACAAGTAAAAAGTTCTTTTAAACCTAAAGTATATTCTTCAACTACAAAACCATTACAACTTCTACACATGGATCTTTTTGGACCATCTACAATCGCTAGCTTTGCGCGGAAAACATTATGCTTTTGCAATTGTTGACTATTTTTCTAGATTTACTTGAGTCATATTTTTTAGTCTAAAAGAAGCCTTGAAAGCTTTTAACCATTTTTGTAAGAAAATCCAAAACGAAAAAGGTTATACCATTACAACCATTAGAAGTGACCATGGTAGAGAATTCGATATTGTTGATTTTGATAATTTTTGCAACGAAAATGGATATGATCATAATTTCTCAACTCCTAGAATTCCTTAACAAAATGGTGTAGTAGAAATGAAGAATCGTACATTACAAGAGATGGCTAGAACCATGCTTAACGAAAATAATTTAACGAAATACTTTTTTACCGAAGCCATTAATAATGCTTGCTACATTGTAAATAGAGTTTTGGTTAGTCGTAAGAAAACTAAAACTGCCTACGAGATTTGGAAAAATAGAATTCCCAATATTAGTTACTTTAAAGTTTTCGGTGGCAAATGTTTTATTTTGAATACAAAAGTTAATTTGGGAAAGTTCAAAATCCGATATTGGTATTTTCTAGGATATTCATCGACTAGCAAAGCCTATAGAGTATTTAACAAAAGAGCTCCAGTCGTTGAAAAATCCATTCATGTTACATTTGATGAGAC